TGACCACCTACAGGCGAGGTCAAGCTGGATTAGCTTGGAAAAGTTCAAGAAAAGCTTCCGAGGTGCATTTGTCCACGTTTTCTCATATTAGCGTCCTACAGATATGCTAGATTTCTAAAATGCATTAGGAAAGAGATGGACTATATAAGCTTTTAGCTCCGCAGTATATACCGTAGGTTGCTCCAGCTGATAATATTTATACTGATCACTAGACTTGCTATTCGATTAACAGGATTATGATAGATTGTCTTGTTCGGTTTTACTGTATCAAATATAGCATCTATCAAATAATATGTAAGTAGCTTGCTTACAACTGTCGAAGAATGGATATGTGTCCGAGTTGTTTGTCGGTCGTCTTTTGCTGCGTATATTAACGAAATTTCAGTAATTTATTTGAGTACTTATTTGGTTTTTGTGAGTAAACAAATAAATAATAATATTAAAAATAATACACAAGGCACTAGCGAAAGAATATGGGCTGACATCATGTAAAGACCCATACTATAAATACACACCGGATACTGTGATGGAAAACGCAACACACAAAGTATACTGGGACAATCCTATCCTCACAGACAAGACAATTGTTGCTTATCGACCAGATATAACTGTAATAAAGCATGTAACCTATCTGGTTGATGTGGCAGTACCAAGCGATCACAACACAAAAACCAAATATGATGAGAACATCGAAAAATATATTCCCCTGGCACAAGAGATGAAAAGACACTCACAACGTACTCGCTACCATCACACAGAAAAAACGAAAATATACAGAATTAGCAGACGAAGTGAAAAAAATGTGGAAGTTAGACAGGGTCAGAATTGTTTGTGCCTATTGGTTTATCTGCACCGGGAGTCATGCCAAAATCTCGAAATACTTGGACTAGGACAAGAATTATTCAAACTCGTACAGGAAGCTGTCGTACTAAATACGACAGGAATAGTGAGACGATCGTTGATCCACGAATAGGCGAGAGTGCTTGATGAAAGACACCCGTACCTCGTCATACGGAATAAGCTGAGATAAAAAGTTATGATAATAAAAATAACAATGTTTAATTGAGTATATACAAATCAAATACAAAATGTATAATACCCCAAAAAGCTGGGGGCTGGAAACGCTTTTTTCACCTACAGATGCGAAACTTATGGGTAAAAACCATAATAGGAACAATTATTTTGTAAAGCCTGTATTTAAGTGATTGTGGCTTCAATGAACTGCAATTATAATACGATTTAGTAGATTGGCTTTTATAGATAGAAAATGCTTCGAAAGATTTGGAATAATCATTAAGAATAAATGGTTCCGGGTAAAGGAAACATTTTTTAAATTTATATGTTGTATGGGCCGGTATGCTGTAACAATAAATTATCATTGCCTAGTAATGACCTAGTGATGACCGTTTCTCTAATTCACTAAGCAAGTGCCTAGGTGATTCGTTTTTAAGATTTTATAAAACAAGGTAGCATAAAGGATCAATGAGCGGTACTGGAATTTTAAAACATTTTCTCTGAAATAATATCTAGTAATATACTGTGTCCGTGTATATTGCTGTGACAAAACCTCATACAACAATTTGTACTTTTTGCATTATTTCCTCTGTTAGAAAATTATAATAAACTGCTTTAATATCACTTGTCAATAAATTCTTGTTCCAGAGGGATTTAAATTTAAGATAACATACTCTATTTAGAACATGACAATCCAATTATAAATTTATATCTAACATTATCCCTAAATTTGTAATTTCATCCACGATTACAATAATGGTTCTATCTAAAACTGTATCTGTATTAATTGCTTCTTTACACTTCGAAACTATCAACGTGAACCAATGCATAAAACTTTTGGATGGGAAGTCTTAATCAATAATTTCTTGATTAATTTTCGATAATCTTTAAATTCATATTGAGGTCAATTATCAGGAAATTTATGTTATTTGGTTAACATGCTTTATAGATTATGATGTCATCCGCATAGAAATGTACCCTTCAATCAGACGTAATACAATACATCAAATCTGAGGTATAGAAAGTAAACGGTATAGGACCTAACACTTCCTTGTGGAATGATTTTACATCTCGTAAAGTAGATAGTATTTTACCGCAAATTTGTCCACATCGGGATCTGTCAGTCAAATAGTTGATGAACCATTGCAAGCCATTGCCAGATAAACCTGAGTGATGCAGTTTTTTACATATACAACACTGTGATTGACCATCCATGTCTAACGTCACCAACAGTGTTACCATTCCATTATCCATATATTTGACTGTATCGCTTGCAGTGTTCATAACTGCAGTCGACGTATTGTGTAACTTCCTGAAACCGTATCAGGTAGTATTTGGTTCACTTCTAGATGTTCTCGTAACTCGTCATCCACAATTGTTTCTAATAATTTTGACATATCTATATATTCAGGGTGTAAAGTTAGTAGTGAATCAACGGAAGTCAGGTGATAAAGAGCTTCAAAACATATCGAATGAACCCCAAATGTGTGGTCCTAAATTTTGTAGTTCAGGAGATATTTGCAATTTTGTGAAATTTCGGAAAAACAGGATAATGAACTTTCAATCGCAATTACAACTAAACCATTAGGTTTAGGGCTGCGATTTTTATTTGATATGAGCTAAATGGTTAGTTTTAGTAATGGTTATGCCAGTTTTTAACAGAGCTAAGTAGAAATCAACTCAAAAATCTTAAATTCATTTTTTTTTGTGAAAAATCTCTTCCATCCCTCAACTTTGGAGACCGGTAAAAAACATTGAGGTTGTATTTCATTATTCATTTTATTGTAAAAACTATTTCAATCCATGTAGAATAAACCCTGGAAATTTAAGCTTGCTACGATAAGTGCCACACCTTAAAAAATGTGTAACTGTATGTTTGACGCAGGTGGGTATCTATACATGTAAGCAAGAAATTCTGTTCTACGAGCTACAGTCTAAACGACTTGATGGATTTTGATAGATGGGGTAGGTACTGTTAGATTCGGCCTAGCAGTGCGGGTGGTACTGTGTGTATTAACATTATGTAAAATCAAAATGACGGATTTTTTACGCAAATAGCCAAATCAGCTTAAGGTCCGACCGAAATTACTAAGTCAGGCCATGGTCCAACGCAGAATTTGTATCTAACGTTTGGCAACTGAGAAGAATCAAATGCCGCGAGATTATGCAGAAATGCATTACTATTATGGTGCTGCCTTGGGAAATGCTCGAGCAGCTGCTCGTATGTGTCGGGAGTATGTGGTTAGAAGAGGTGGACCAACCTGCAGTATATCTCGCCTACAGCGTTTTTCTACGCGTCCCTAATGCGTATATGGAGGACCGCATACTAGGCACTCATCGTCAGCTAGGAGCGTCGGGGATACGCATATAAGAAATAGAAGATAAAATAGAAACAGCCGAGAGAGATTCTTCTATAAGCACCAGAGCCGTTGCCCGAAGCTGAGACATATTTCATACTTCAGTGCACACAATACCACTCTCTAAGAACATGCATCCTAACCATGTGCAAAAAGTACAAAAATGCTTCCAAGCGACTATGCACAATGGCCTGAATTTTTTGAGAATATGTTGAGAAGGTGCAAAAAGCATGAAACCTGTGTTTGACAGCATCTTATGGACAGATGAATCCAACTTCAACCGAAATGGAATCTCAATTGGACCATATGAATTGCCCGCCAGGTTGAATGGTCAGTCATATCTTGCTTTTCTACAAAGCAGTTTGCATAAGCTGCTAGAGATTATGGTTAACGCAAATTTATTTCGAAGACGAAAGGACAATTTTATTAGAAGGTGTCGCTTGTGTATAGAAAATAATGGAGGCCATTTCGAATAAGTTAGTCAAATTCAATTATCTTCCACATTTGTCGGTAAATCGCCACAAAGAGCGGCTAAACACAATATGTTCTGAAGTTGTAGGTGGTAAAGCCTTTTATTGCGTTTCTTACGTTTATCGCATCGCAACAACGAATGTGACATAATACACTCATCGTAGCAAGCTGAAATTTTCAGGGTTTATTCTACATGGATTGAAATAGTTTTTACAATAAAATGAATAATAAAATTCCACCTCAATTTTTTTACCGCCCCAAAGTTGAGGAATGGAAGAGATTTTTCACAAAAAAACGAATTTAAGATTCTTTGCCTTGATTTCTAATAAACTCTGTTAAAAAGTGGCATAATTATTGCTAAAACTAACCATTTAGCTCATCTCAAATAAAAATCACAGCCCTAAACCTAATGGTTTAGTTGTAATTGCGTTTGAAAGTTCATTATCCCGTTTTTTCGAAATTTCACAAAATTGCAAATATCTCCTGAACTATAAAATTTTGGTCGACACATATAGGGGTTTATTCCATAGGTTTTAAGGCCCTCTATCACCTGACTTCCGTTGATCCACTACTAACTTTACACCCTGTATATATCTGGGTACACCCCAGAGCCAGAGTAAGTCCATTTTTGACGAGAATAAGTTTAATATGTTAAGCTTATGATAATATTGTGAATTTTCATTTGCTACATCCAGCGTTCATCTATCTGTAATAATAAGGAAGTTACAACTGTTTAACTCATGTCAAGTCGCGTACAATACAATGCAAAAAAATATGTATTTCAAATACAATTATCTCAAAACTACTTATTTGGACTTAACGTAGTTTGGCTCTGACGTACATATATATATAACGTTTTAACAGCTGTCGTACGTGGTGTCAATGTATTTGTGATTTTAGTAGGGAATCACAACCAATTCGATAAAATATTCTGTACCTTATGTTTCCCAATCTCAATTGTGTTAACACCAGAGATAATTTTTGCATAACTACACAAAACCTATAACAACTGTTCAAACTTTGAGAACCGCATACTCCTTTTAAATGATCCGTCACCTAATTTCTGTTTCTCTCCAAGAACTGCATATCTGAATGCAAAGCTCCGGAACACTAACAACCTGTCACATTTTTTCGCCACATCAGTTGCACCAGTAGCTCCCCCCTCTACACCCAACCATCTCAACCATTTTCCATGTGATTCGTACTGCCGGATTGCCCGGATGGCCAAATTGTGAAAGGAACCTTGCTCTTCTTGATAACGTGGAGGAAAGAACATGCCTCTCTGCGACATTGGGGGGCCTTATAAAGCAGGAGCGGGGCCCAGCCCTGACAACAGTCGCACTCAACAGTCCTAGCTAATAGGAGGTTGCATATCTTAGCGCGCCATGAAATTCTTGGTAAGTTACCAAGAGGTGTCAAGCGGTGGTACGGCGAAGTGTTCTTGGTTCGCGGATCGCGTGTGATAGAAGTGTGGTGATGCACATGGATGCATACTATTATGATGCTTTGTGATAGTCCAACATAGTTATTATTTACGTTTTATTATTGCGATTGGTTGGGTAAGAAGATTGTGCTTGATTCTAAGCTTTTCATAAAGTCTGTCGCAGGAGATCCGTCATCTTGGATTAGAGATTAATATTCTGCAAGAGGAATTACTCAAATTCCACCAGTAGTTTGTTAGGCAATGCATCACGAAAGGGTTATTCGTAGAGAAAAAAAATAAGTGAACATGTTCACATAGTCGTGGTTGAAATAAAAACATTTACTAGCGAATATTCTATTAATACTTGAGACTATGAACTTTACCTGTATTTCACATTATGAAAAAAAGCTATAAACAACCTCCATTTTCGTTTGCCAGTATCGTAAGCATACTCGTAGTATTTGAAATATTCTGCCATCATGTAAATCTGAAGCTTACCCCGTGGTTTTCATGTTGATAAATTTTCATGCTGCCAAATGAAACCGCACATTTTGGATTGAATGTTTGCTAATATTTCGCTCATAACTGAAACGATAATAAACATTCACTCCAACATTTGGCGGGCCAGAAGACATGGAAGTTTATATTTTTCTGTTTAAGCAACCATTTACCTGCTTCAAAGCCTATGAAGTGTCGCATTCTCACTTGGCAGCTTTTAGTTGTACCTTAGTGACTTAACAAGCTATTCGACCAATTAAATGCAAAATTGTACAAATTCATACATTCTCCAACTTGTATTTTATTAAGCTTTCGCCTTTTTTCGGCAGTGTAAGGTACGGATCTGACTGTATGATGGTTAGTATTTTGTTATGCAATATATCTTCGATGAATTGTCGAGTATGTAAGACTCCACTAACAAGCTCAGGACGACGGAGCACCTGCAAGAGGTAGATATGTAGTTAAAAAATCAAATTAAACCTCCTACATGACGCCTGAACGAAAGCACATTTTTTCTTACCCATTGAATTGCAGTAATAGCCAAGCAACTTTGCACGAATTTGCATCACTCAGTTGAAATATTTTAGATCGATACGTTTTTTAGAATGAAAAGTCCAGAATAACTGAAAAATGAATGGATATATACAGAACCACTTATCCGCGCTCCAAATAAACGAAAGGTGTAATAGTTGATATACGATGGAAAAGTTTAGAGTCAGTGTCTTAGAAATGTCTCGAATAAACCAATCCGGTCCTTCGGTTTGGTCTGGTATAGTCGAAATCACGAAAGAAGACTATTTTACGTCATCATTTTAGTCTCTAGCGATTTGTAGGAATATTTTTAATGAAGTTTCAGATATGAACTTCGGCAAATCATAATATAGATTTGTTGACATTATGTTCCTGACATCGTGATTTTATCATCGACGTACGTCCATTGATTACTTCGGTACAATTTATGATATGACGTAATAGTCATCCTTCGTGATTTTGACTATATATATATATACGTATATATATCCAGAAGGAGGTTTGAAAACCTGCCATCCAACGTTTTTATTTAATACCATATTTGCCCAACCATTTCGCCGCTTCATATTCCGCAGGATTATCTTCTTTCTGTTTGTTCTCCTACTGTCAAGGAGGTATTGAAATCGCAAAAAATTCGATAACGATATATGTTTTTGAATGTTACATGAAATGTGCATCACGAAAACCCATGAAGTTATTACAAAAGGATACTACTACGCTAAGCTTTGTATTTTTTGAAAATCGGTCTTTTGGCGGCGAAAAAAATACGCATCGCTCAAAGTTCGTTTTTTGACATTTTAGCGTCTCCTGATCATTTAAAAAAAGTAGTGGTTAAAAATTGGAGATTGAGGGTTGGAAGGATGGGAGAGGGTATATCCTATTCTTTATATTTGCCCTTAAAGCTTAGAATGATAGAGAAATGTTTTCGATACGCGTTCTTACTGTGGAGAGGCGACGGTGGCAAGCGCAATTTTGATGATTTGTATGGACCTGTTTGACTGACCTGATTCGTTTAATTTATCTGTTATGCGGATTCATAACTAACTTTTTTCTCAGGGAGTCTAACGTACATTCTGCTTCCAGCCGTCTGACCATAGGCAGCCAATCATGGGCAGCTGTTTCGTGCTTTTCTGGAAACTCATCATCACGGTCTAGACTACTCTCTGTCCAGGATATAAGGACGCTGTCTCATTTCGATAGGCTCTAACTTGTGCTGAACGTAATCCTTTATGAACTGATGTAGAGTATAGAGTCAACTTAATGCCATTTTTTGGGTTTTCAAACATGTCAGACCTACTCAAATGTTCTTGTGAAATCAGGGATATATGGAAATATTCGTGTTTGTTTCTTATACACGCCGGGAAATGTTTTAACATTTTTCGAAGCATATCGTACCGGAAAATGTCACGCAGTGCACATTCACCAAACGTGACTAAGAATTTTTGTAACTAAATCGTTTAGTTGCTCAATGCGTATATGCAGATAAAAACAAAAGTAGTGTGACTGGGCAGCGGAATTTTTGTAATTTCGTGCCTTGCAAGGCCGTTCCTTTACAAGTAAACAGCCATTTAATATTACGCGTGCCTAACAAAAAGACCGATTTTTTCATTTACTTAAAGATCTTTTCTCAGTGCTATGTTATGAATTATTCATGTCAATCGATAAGCCATATGAACATATTTATATTTGGATCAGATACTGGTATATGAATATATATATCAAAAAAATTCGTTATCCGTGTTAGCTAGACATGTGTATTGAGAGAACACGGAAATCTTGTGTTACATATTATGTAAATTGTGCATAGCTTCTTGTACAACTGTTATGGGTATGCATTACCAAGGTCATTAAGTCTAAGCTTCTAGAAGTAAATATAATTGACTGTAAAGTACTCGTATTACAGATGCAGGTACTGGAGAAATCATGTTTTAAGTTTCCTTAAACCACATCAAAGTTTTGTTAATTTCTTAAAGACTTTAACAGTATACCAGCACCAAAAACAAAGTTAACAAACTAACATTACGCTTTTTCGGGAAAAGAACAAAAATAAAAGTACTAAATTGGACATTTAAGACGTTCCAAGGTAGCGTCCAACCGCCACCCTAAAATTGTCAACTGCCAGTTTCGCGCTTTCTAACGTGAGCCGTTTGAAAAATAACTGGACTAGGACCTTTTTGAAACGTATTGTTTGACGATGGCTCTGGAATTATTAGAATTCTGTTCTTAGCTCTAAAAGAGAATCTATCTGAGACTTAGTAGCCTCAACCTGTGCGTTGATGAATTTTTGTCAGTCTCGTAAGGTTATATGGTCTGTCATCTTGTTTATAGTCCAGGTGCTGACTCTAATTATAATAACCAATAACTTACTGTTAAAAAAAAGGTTATTCCGTAGACAGATCAAATAATACTTTGTGATCATCTGATGTTTTTCAAAAAGCTGCTTTTTTGATATTAAGAAAGAAGGAAAACATTAGTCGACTGCTATTTCAAATATCATTGATTTAACTACAACAGGTATGTTGTACTACAGTGGGTTATCTAAAATTGTAACCTGCATAAGCCCAATAGAAAATTACTACATGTTTAGTAAAAATATAGAAGCTGCTATCAATTCAATTAATACCGACCACGCTTTTCTCTAAAGCCTTCTCAATCAGTGAGGTGTTAATTGTGTTTATGCATTGAATCTGCCAGTAAATTCAAAACAAAGTGAGCAACAAACAAACAAATAATAAATACAAGAAATTGGTTCTAAAAGAGATACTAATCCCATGTTCTCTCCCAATATGGATTTAAAGTCACCGAATCCCAGTTGATACCAAAACATTCGTCTAGCCGCAGCACTTTCAGTGCTTTCTTTTTTTTTGCACTGTCTTTCCTTTGTTTGAGCAAACAGACCTAGATAGCCAAATCTATAATGAAAAACAAACATCATAATGAAAGCAATGAACGATAGTGAGCATACCAAAGAATTGAAAGTGAATTGCTGCATTTTTAAGCCTACTGAATCCTCAATATTCGTTTTAAGCCCCGGGATTGAAATCTACTCCATACTGGTGCTGCTAATGTATGACCCGAAATACCTTTGCACCTATAAATATATATAACAGCAACCAAAATAATTTGCACTCACATTGGATTTTATTGCATAACTTTTCGATACACGAATTGTGACACCTGGATTGGATTGCATTATTCAAAAGCCGCATACGCAGGTACCCATACGCTTTTATCAGTAATGTTTAGTAAAAACAATTTTTGGCCCATTAATAACGCATAATAATTCTATTTGGTTAAACTGTCCTGTATAATAAACAAACCTGTTATTTATAAATTGCAATTCTCGTTGACCAAAATTAGAATAAATCATTAATTTTCTATATGGTATACATTTGCAAAACCTCTCTCTAAATATTGCTGCAGTTTGGACTTCTACTAATATTGCCCCGTGTCGCGAACTGGATTTCCAATAAATTCGCTATGCTTTCATTCCGGCTGAACGTATACTGAACTCATACATTTTCGGATTTAAAATAATAGAGTACTACAAATCTTTTGCCTATCAAAGCCCGAATAATTCATGTTTCTATTTTACCAGACACTATACCGCTTCGATTTTTATCAAATTTGACGAGGAGTAAGAATCTTCAACAGGACTAAAATTTTATTGGATTTGTTTCTCCTGAGAATAAAAAACTGCTCGTGTCAGATAGGTATGACCATAAGACAAAAGGCGAATCATGGACTGTCATCTTGTAGTCACTATGCTTCCCTCAATATGCTTTTGCAAAATAGTGTTCATGCCAAACATTTCTTGCTTAAAGTACAGCTGCTTAGAAGTGCTGTGGTAGTTCGAGTTGATGTACCTTTTTCTAGTTTTGAGTTGTAGTAGTTGAAGAATGGGATTCAGCGGCAAATTTGGGGGTATTGGACTCATACGAGGAAAATAGTTATACGAGGGTTGATCCCTATCCCACCATTCTGACCATTTTGAAGTTTTATTCTCTGCTAAATTCCTGCTAGCAGTAATGCTCTTACTTCTTACTAAAGGATTTTTAGATAAATTATATAAAGTCTACTTTTGTCTAATATGATGCCAATTCAATTTTCGTATATTCAAAATTTCATTGTGAAATGAGCCACTAAGAAGATATTGTCAAAATTCAGTATCTGGAAATCACGTTTTCAATATACCTGCATTGTAATATGAAAAGGATTATTTTTAAAGCAAAATTCCAAAACGATTGAAATTACTACCAAACATTTTTCCTGCACCTGTTCACGTTTCACTTCATTCGATTAATTAAACTTGTTTTGGTCACTCTGCATAGCTTGAAGTAGTCTATCTATGTGTCGAAATACAATTACATGGGTGTTATTATTCGAATTGATTGCAGATGAAAATAAATAACAGGGTGTGGTGCAATACAAACCGGTAAAAATTTATTACTCACTTGTTAGAAAAAACTAATTATGGAGTTATTTCCTTTAAAGAAATTGATATGTGCTCAGGATAAGTATACGAGGTCAGTTCCAACCAATGACGTCCGGCACTGCTCTTATGTAAAAAAAACAGAAAAGGTAAAAAAACCGACGAAGTGTCATCTTGCAGAGACACGTACAGATACAGAACAAGTGTACAACCGCTTGTGCGAAGTTAACATCTTGTAGAAAAATATACGAAATGTCAAAAAAACCTACGAAACTTCAGAAAAAAACACGTTTCAAGATACGTAATACCCGTACTATGTATATCCAAACCTTAGGTATATCCAAACATTAGGTGAATTATTTGGCCTCGTTGGGGTGACATGATAAGTTGAGTGACCAACATCGCCACCCCGAATTTGGTAATCAAATTTGAGAGAAACAACAAATGTAAATTTAATTTTATCGGGAGTGAATTGGTTCACTACATTGAGACACACAAATTTACTACATAGACATATAATTCTAAATAGATAGATAGCTGCTCAGATAAATAAATCATTTTGACCAGAAATTACTGAAAATGGACTGCTCCTACTTTAACTCAGAAACTTTCTCTATAGGGCCAGAAGAAAACGAAATATTCGACCAAAAGAGCACAAATTTGGTAATCAAATTACTGAGTAACAACAGGTAGGCTTTATATACCTTGAAACCTGAGCGTCGGTACAACATGTCACTTTTCAATTCAAGATAGTGTTTAAAAGCTGGAATATATGTTTCCCTACCGATGGTTGTTTTACTGGCATAACTTGAATTCGTTACACAAGTACAAAGATACTAGGGGTGTGTCCTAGTCTTAGGGCTACATCGACCTTTAACCATTTCCGGCAAACGGCTCAACTCCAGTAATACAGGGCAGTAAAATTTAGCACGTATGAAGCTTTCTAACCGACAAGGTATGATCAAATCAACTAAGTACCGCCAGTTAGAATATAAATTATTTGCCATATATTTACGAGGATCATTACTTGTTCTACCTCACTTATCCGCAGATTTAAATAGCTTGATTATCTCTGTGGAACTCAAGTTTAGCAAAAAGTGGGTAAGGTCAGCGATCTTCGAAGTGTGTCGACTTTGAGTGATCCAAAGGAACACCTCGTCAATGCTTCCAGTGTTTCGGGAACACTAATACAACATATTGACTAAGCATTCGAAACAAACTTGTGGTTTGTTCCGGCTGATCGTGCATAGATTCTTACGGTGAAATGCATTCCAAAAAGAAATTATCTATTTCTTAGGCTGCGGAAGTACACGCATCATTGACATACTAAAGACCTAAACATGAAATTAAATGAATCAAGAGACCATGAATAAGGAAAGTCATACAGTTGGCAAATATATCATTTATAATTATAGGTGTAACTGTAGTTTTGCTCCTATTACACAGTGAATGCGTAATCATGACATTAACATTCCAGTAATTTGTCCTTCAAGGAAGCTTCTTCATATTTATATAATATAATATTACGTAACATTAAATTGCAATATTATTGCATGTCTCTCTGAAATGAAATTATCTTTACTTACGAATTCGGAATTCAATACTGTGCAACAACACAGACTGCATTGTCGAGTTGGGTACTCGCCAAGTGAAACATTTTAGTCTCTGTGATGTCAAAACTTCAGTACATCATAAAAACTGTGGCCGCTGATATTCTCCGATGGAATTACTCAGAGCAACAGCTTCGAGAATTGAAATTTTCATGTCGATTGTCAATCTCCACCGCCGAGATTGCACCTAGAGAGGCAGACAGTCAGTCAAAACGAAAATTTTGGAAGCTGATGTGACGCTTAACGCTATTGTTTGAAGATAAAATAAAGATGCCCTGCTTTCGTCCACCTGACCAAAGACAGCCAACCATAGAAGGCTGATTCGTGCTTTTTGGCTACTCCTCAGCATGGTCTAGGCTTGGATCTCTCGGACAACGAAGAGAGCTTAGCAACTATAAACTATCCAAAGTGTGCGATCTAACAAAAAGAGACAGTGAGAGACCCAAGCCTAGACCATACTAAGGAACAACCAAAAAGCACGAAATCAGATGTTGTTTATTTTTTTTCTTCAATGACAAACAAACCACACACCTGGAATCGTTGTTCTCGAGCGGCCACGTAGTGACTGAGCCTCCAATTTCGCGGACTGAGATCTATAATCCCAACCGGTAGGCTGCGATTCACTGTTCCGCAATGGTTATTGTTTTACCTGCGTACTATCATGTACGTCATTAACGAGGGAACAACCCTTTCCATTAATCTAAACAAGAACGTGAGTTTTTCCAAAAATTCCCCGTAATGCCTGTTACTTCCCAATAATTCCGAATTTCAGGGAACTCCATAATTCCTTCTAATGCATCCTAATTCCCCAAATATACAGAAGCTTACCGAGATTCTGACTCGTTACTACGGAGTATTCAAGCAGGTTAATTTTATTAGCAACTTCCTACAGAATTGCTTTACATGGCAGGTTTATCCCTTTACCTAGGTGCTCAGTCATAGTTTACCGTTCTTAACGAATGTCATTTGAACTACTATGAGCATAATAAGCGGACATCTGTATTGGCGTATATATTTATGGTACAGGCGTTTTTGTGTCCCTTGACGTTTTCACAAGTAAGTTTTCCAGAGTATACTCGTTTTATCTGCTTGTTTGAAACAACTCAAACGAAAAAGATTTGCTTACCATTTCAAGTGCAGCACATCGTTGAGGAACACCTATTATATGCAGAGTGCTTACATAACATGGACCTCTGTTAAATATTCCGAACATCGTTCTTATTGAACTTTCCATTGTAATCGGGATATTTCTTAAAATAACCCTTTCCCAGCTCGTCTTCGGAATCTGATCCGTAATAGCCCAGGAATGATTGACTCTTTCTGCTAAAAAACTCAAGACAAGTCTGATATTCCTGTACTTTTCCGAACCAGAATTTCGACTGGTTGTGACTGCGCTATACGTTTTTAGAAAGAACCAGCATTAAGAAACAGGCATTTGATACATTTTACGACTCACACTGTATTTGAGTAACTTCTACCTTGCACTTGCAAAAGATTTCCTTATACCGTGTAATTTCTCCTAATTTATATACGTAATGCGTGAACATTACTATTGTGTGTAGAATAAATTACCACAGCGAATGGCCTCTAGTTCGTTGCTGTTTAGTCATACGGCTCTTTCAGGCTATTGCATATTTGCATAAAAGCAAAATCTCTCACTGGACACAATTTTCTGACATTCATGAATCTTGAACCATAAAGTTTTTCATAAATTACTCATGCCCGTTTTCAGATTGTCCTCTCCTGCGCCTTGGCTGTAGCAACAGCGGGCTATGCCAACCCCTACTACTACGCGGCCTTGCAGCATATACCAGTACTCACGCCTCATGGAGTGCCAGTTGAACCGCCAGCGGTGCAAATCGCTAAGATCAATCACTTAGCCGCTCATGCACAGGCCCATCTGGGAGTAGGACATCACCATGGCGTCCCTGCGGATACGCCCGAGGTTAGTAGAAGCCGGAGGAGGGGCAGAGACAGTAACGAAAAAAAAATAAAACAAAATTATGGGATTTATTTGGGAATTTTCCATTTAAAGACATTGCAAGTGCGTGCATATACACCTGCTGCTGTACTTATTTACTGCCAACTACCAGTGATGGGTAAAATAATAGGTTGATTTATCAATATTAATATTCACTAAACTTTTTACTTGCCCTAAATCGATTCCAGAAACTTTTCTGAACCAGTATCTTCGGCATGACCAGTCTCAGAAGCACTCCTCAATTATCTATTTTACTGCCAAGTAAGTGAAAATCGATAGGCGTCAAGATTCATTAACTCATAAAAGCCATCTGTCACTATACGAAATTTTGTAGTAAATATAGTTGGTAAGCTAAATTTCATACATGATTAAGACAGTTTTCATAGCACAATTATGTAAATACGTTTATAGTGCATTTTTTAAAGCCTGCTCTAAATAATGTGATAGTCAAGGTGCACGAGGCACATTTTGATTGTACAGTGGCCGCTGGAGACGTCAGCGATTTGCAAACCAGGTTTGGATTTGGGATAAGTGATACGTAGCAGCAGAACTGAAAAGAAAGCATGTGATTCAAACTGCAACGAAAACTGAGATTAAAATAGATGTGACATTGTGGCATAGCCTTTTTTGCCCGAATGCGCATTATTCCATCAAAAATTAATTATAACAGGCTGACAGAATTCTAATTTTTAGAATGTGAGAACTAAATTCAGTATGTAATACCTTACTCTTTTTCCAAAATAAGTTCTTCCAGAATTATGTTTCATCTATAATATTTTGTATTGTAATAGACGGCCCTAATAAGAGAATACACACCACAACTAGCGACATATGGATCAGTAGTAAACAACATCAGATAGAATGCAAGGCGGTTCGTAGCTATACTCTGTAGCACATCAAGCTGTGACTTATTACTTATTCCTTACGATATATGTACCTTTCGCCAATTATAATATATGTAAATTTTCTACACATTCACCATATTCGGATCGAATTTCAGGTGTCATTCTTATTCATAATTACTTGTTATCTCGTAGTTTCTCATTTTGTTTAATTTTACAGGTTGCTGCTGCCAAGCTGGCTCACCTACAAACCGTCGCCGCTAAAAGAGCTGGCTACCACGTAGCACCAATCGCTGCAGCTTCTCACATCGCACCCCTTATTGCCGCCGGTCACCCCATAGATACTCCCGAGGTACAAGTTGCGAAGGCCGCCCACTTTGCTGCCCACGCGGCCGTCCGAGGACACCTCAGGAAAAGGAGGGCCCTGCCATATCCTCTCCATTATCCTGTGATCGACCACAATGGCGTGCCTGTGGAAACCCCCGAGGTGCAGGCTGCTAAGGCTCACCACTTCCAGGTACGGCTCATATGTCACGTGAAGGTTTGCTGACAAAGGCATAATTTCCTCAAAACCTAATATCACGTAGGATTATTTATTATTAAATGATTCTGTAAGAGAGACTACACACCTAATTCTGCTGTGCAGTGCCATTTTGCATTAACCACCTGGTGACTTAAATGGTACAATATTGTTTACCAGGATAGAATATCTATCTGTTTTACCGAGTACCTAAGTCAGTATTTCCCAGATTTTAAAACAATTTTTATACGGTACTTTTTTTACACTGATGCAGTCGCGTAGGCTGAAACCTGAATACGAAGGCACCGCGAGTTTAAAGAAATTAATCCAATACTAACTGCCCCGGGTTAGCAGACATGGGAAAAGTCTGCTCACGCAGTTTGCTCGATAATGCCAATACCATAGGAACAAAAGAGGCAGAAGCCTGGAGGGTGCACTTTGCAGACCCAATGCGTAGTAGCTTCGTTGGGAGCTCTAAGGAGCAAATCCAGTTGGCATAGCGATAGAAGCGAGCCAGATCGCTTTGGTTTATATTTGTCTATACCTCAATATCTGGTTTCTGAGTAAACGTCCATAATTGTTCAACATCTATAAACTAACAGGCGGCTCCAAAAGAGGACAAGGGCGGTAGCAGAGAAATACTATAGGACAAAATAACAGGAATTAGCGTCTCTATGGGTCTAGGCTCTAGCGACATTTTTTTGAGCAGAGGTGTCTGTAATACGTGCTTGTCAAAAAAACTAATAAGGCGAGGAACTCTTTTTACGTTTATTTCAAAGTGTTTAAGTCAGTCCGTAAGAGAACCGACTCGCAAGGAGAAGAAATTTTGTTAATACGATTTTTGAACTGCCTAAGGTTAGTAGAACTGGGAAAAGCTTCCTCTTGTAGATTGTTCCACAATCTAGACACCCTCGGGACAAAGTAGCGGTCGTATCGGCCAGTTCTGGATGTACGAAGTTTGACACGGTTAGGATGGGACGCCGAAGTCAGGCGGGTCTGTCTGGCAGGCACATCGCGCGGCGGCGTCATAGAAGAGAGCTCAGAGGAGCAAAGCCCGTTGGTGTAGCGATAGAAAAGAGCTAGATCGCCGACGGTCCGCCGGTGCGAAAGAGTCCTGCGACTGTCTGTTAGAGAAGAGTTATCGATCAGTCGGATCGCCCTCCTCTGGACAGCATCGAGCATAGACAATGTAGTCGGGGCGGCAGCACCTCAAATGTGTGAGCAATACTCGAGGCTAGGCCTTATCTGGGCCTTGTATAGAGTGAGAAGGTCATGCGGAGAAAAGTACTTCTTAGCCCTAAACAAATAGCCTAGCTTTTTCCCAGCAGCTGCAGCTATTGACGAGATGTGTTCGTGCCAGATCACGTCCTCGGTGATCTGGACTCCGACCAGCCGAAATAAATAGCTCTTTGGTAGAACTCGGACCGTCCATCGAAACTGTATGAGCGCTAGGACGCTTTTTGTTCGTCAAAGTACAGTACTGTGTTTTGGAAGCATTGAACTGTACAAGATTGTTGCGTCCCCAAGCAGTGATAGCCTTCAGGTCTCCTGTTAGAGAAGAAGTCGTCGCTAGTCTTCTTTTTTCCAGCTCAGCGGCAGAGATCGGCTTGTCACTCTGAATTCCTGCATGTAGAGTGCTGTCATCAGCGAAGCTGTGGATTGGGTTGATCGTGCAGGAAAGGAGGTCGTTGATATGTAAGAGAAACAGTGTTGGAGCCAAGACCGATCCCTGGGGAACACCCGCGTTGACGTTAGTGGGATGAAGAGGAGAATCCGTCAATTACGACGGATATCTTGCGGCCAGAGATAAAGTCAGCCACCCATCTGCAAAGCTTTTCTGGGAGGCCAGTAGGATGGAAGTTTGCTTAAGAGGGCAGCGTGCCACAGCTGATCGAACGCTTTCGTGATGTCAAGAGCAACGACATGAGCCTCACCATTAGACTGGATGAGTTTACTCCACAGTTGCGTGACGTAAGCTAGGAGGTCCCCTGTGGATCGTTGGTGCCGGAAACCGTACTGCCTGTCGCTAATCAAGCTGTGACGTTCGAGGTAGTCCAGAAGCTCGCGATTTATGCACCTCTCCATCACCTTACTTATAACAGAAAGCAGAGCTATACGCCTGAAGTTGTAAGTGTCGGTCTTAGACCCTTTTTTGGGATGGGCTGGACATGAGCAAATTTCCAGTTTTCTGGGAAGGTGCCGGATTCATAAGATATATGGAAGAGACGCGAAAGAACTGGAGCAGGCTACGCTGCACATCTCTTCAGTACGATGGCAGGAATCAAGTCCGGACCAGAAGCTTTGTTGATGTCGAGCGACAAGAGCACTCGTCTTACGGTCTTACGCCTGAATGTTACCTCCCGCATAGTGTGGGGAACCCTTTGAATTGACGGCACTTGGGCATTGGTGGGGACGTCCATGGTGGAGTTGGCAGCAAAGATCTTGGCTAGCACTTCCGCCTTGGCCCTTGAGTCGAATACAATAGTTCCATCCGGACACGTAAGTGGTGGAAGGCTACTGTGTGAGAAGTTCTTTTGGATCTGCTTGGCCAGCGTCCAGAAAGATCGACCACCATTGCGCTGCGACATTACCCTGTACCTAACTTTTATATCGTGCTGATTTTTGGCATTGCGAACCGTTTCGTTATATTTGTTTCTGGACTCGACGTCGGCTTGTCTGTTCTCTACAGTGGGGTTTTGTAAGTAGGTTCTGTGTGCCTTGATCTTTTGCTGGCGAGCAGTGTCACACGATTTGTTAAACCAGCCGTTGGACCCTGGTTTAGAAGCTTTCACTGTGTGAGGGATGAATTCCTCCATTCCGACGTCGATAATTTCGGTTATCGAAGAACAGACAGTCGACGCATCCGCGTCAGTGAAAAGGAAGCTAGAGAAGAAGTCTCTGAGCCCCTCCCAGTCGGCATGTCCGTAATGCCAAGTTTTGCGGCGTGTACGAGTTTCTGCTGCCACAGCGGGTTCTGACCGAAACCTAACCTCCACAACACCGTGGTCTGAGTTACCCAGGGGGGACAGGACAGCAGTGCTGTAAGGGACACGATGCGTGGTCAGAAAGAGATCCAGCAGGCTACTGGCGTGTGACGAGACGCGGGGGAAAAAAGTAGGGCTCGTCAACAGCTGGGTCAGCCCTTGAGTAAGAGCGAACGCTTCTACTGCACGACCTGCTGCATCGGTCTTATTTGAGCCCAACCAAAGATCATTATGGGCATTGAAATCACCGAGAAGAACTGTCTCTGAAGCGGGGTGATTGATGTTCAGGAAGTCGATCTGGACGGCGAGGTATTCCAGTAGGTCATCCCAGTTATGGTTCGAGGGAGAGCGATAAAGGCAGCAAATAAATTTGGAGTTGAGGCGAAGCCACAGAATGTCCTTCCGGTCTGATTCCAAAGAAAGATCCCTGGAGCAGGAAAGACTGCTGCGGACAAAAGCCACAACTCCCCCGTTCTTTCTCAGAGTGGAGTGCACCTCGTAGTTTGGGAAGTCGAGATGGTTAATCGGTGCAGTCTCTGAGATTTTTGTCTCCGCTAATATCATCAATGTTGCTGTTAATCCCGCAGATGTTCGAAAAACAAATTTTATCTTCGATGTTGTTCCCTCGAGCCCACCCTCCACCCGGACATTCCGAGAGTGGAGTGAGTTTACGTCCGGAGTTCTTAGTGCTCGAGGGATCCATCATCATTAATTTCTTTGTTTTGGAAGATAACCGACTGCATAGCTTAGGTGTGGAAACATGCGGACATTTATAAGACACCCTGGGAAAAGCTAGCGGGTGGTACCGCCTCGGTCGACTGGTCCTTGTCTACCACCTTCTTTTTACGTGTTAGTGATTTATTAGACCTAAAGTGGCCCGTTGGCGGACTTGTACCGCCACCCGGCAATCGGTACTGAGGTATTCCTTAACGCGTGTACAATCACTTGAACGGGAAGAAGTTGTATACTGGATACAACAACTTCCGGAACAAGGATTTGCCACGGCCCTCGCTCAGTAAGGTGCGATATAGATATTTGACGAAGTGTGATTTAGTAGCTGATATACTGAATGACAAAATAAGGTAAACACCAAAGTATACTTAACCGATTTGAATAATTTTTAGCATATATGTATGTTCAGTGTCCCTTACTCAATTTCAATCTTGATTGATGAAAGACGCTGCTTCTGTCCGCAATAAGGAGGCCATAGTATGTTTATTTTCAGGTTAGCCTAGATTGAACCAATGAATTCTGATAGATTAGGAAGGATCAAACTTATATATTTATATTACATTGCATGTCGCCAACATTGCGTAGTTTTAGATCAGACGCTTTTGAGAGATTAGTCTTAACAGGTTCTATAGGTACAAATGTACCAATGTTGTTATTAAACAAGTATAAAATTATCTTAGCTGTTCCAAATTTGGTTGTCAATGTTGCTGCTTCAGGAATTCGCCAGAGTTGCTCAAAGACCCGGCCAAAACATCCCAGACTCCGTAGACTACAACTCTCCCCACTACTCAGCGCCAGCACCTCAGTATCATGCTCCACAGTTTGCCGCCACACACTACGCAACTCCCCAGTATACTCCTGCCTACTACAACCACGCTCCATTGAGGGGACCTGGAGGTCCACCAGCTGAGATCGGACCTGATGGACAGCCATTGGAAACGCCTGAGGTAGGAACAGCTTAAAAAGCATGCTCGATAGCGTGAAAAGAAACAGCAAGGGATTTCTTAACCAAACTTAGCAGCAACTTTCAAACTCTTTCATAGCGCTCAAAAATTTTGTCAGTTGCATATTTTTGAGTATTTTTCTATTTCCAGTTATCACATCAACAAAGGATTTTTTAACCAAACTCAGCAGGACCTTTCAAACTGTTTCATAGGGCTCAAAAATTTTGTCAGTTGCATATTTTTGCATATTTTTCTCCATTTACCAAGAGTGATCATCTTGTAAGCCCTAACACGCGCCAGCTCGCTAACTTACGAACAGATATCCTAAACCACATGCGCTGATGAGTATGCATAATCAGCAATAGTCTCTCCTTATCAGCCGAAGTGTGGATAAGGTGATTTCCCATTTCGTGTAAACGTCAGCCTTTTTAGTAAAGTACTTTGAGGAAAATAGCACCTACCAAAGCCGATGCAGAGAAAAGTAAGAGGTCCAACCTCTCAAAAGAATTGTGGTTTCCTCAAAAAGTTCAAGCAACTGTTGTCTTTCAATAGCCGAATGAGGCTAGCGCTACAGTTTTAGATTTTTCAAAAGGCTGATTCCCTTTGCGATGGTAATATATGTTATAACTGATGGGTTCGCCTACTCATCCTGAAGTATCAACATTGATGCTCCTCAGGGGTCGATTTTGCATCTAATACTGTTTCTGTCATACAGTGTAAACTTCAGATGCAGGCATTGAGAATGAGTTGGGCAGACTTCAGCTACGATGAAACTCAAGCTAGGAGGCAGTAAGCATCCAAACACATGTCTGGTTTTGATAAATGACCGAGCTTTGCCCGGAACACAGTCATTTTAGTTTGTCAGAGTTAAAGGTATCGAGCGTATTATTTTGTACACACAAATCATGACAGTCGCAAAAAGATACCGAAAAAGCTGGGTGATATTCTTAGAAGCAGAGTATTTTCATACTTAATGCAAACAAACTCGTACAAATAATGTCTGAATTAATGGAAATTATGAAGCAGCACAAGATACTCCTCTTCGTCACATGACTGTATGAGGTATCATGAATGTTTTGCTACATGATCAGCTGATATTTGTTGCTACGTTTTTCCGTGTATAACATACAAGGCTTTGATGATTTGGTAATTTGTAAGCGAAAAAAAAACTCAACTTCAATAGACCATCATTCCAACATTTTGAATGATAGCGTCAAGTAACCATCATTCTATTTGAAGATATGGCGCGCACCCGCCATTATGTAACAATTGGTTGCTAACAATATCTGTTTAAAAAATAAGTATAATAGGGGACCTTCTGATAATCACTTACATAGTTAGCGGCGTCTGTCTATTTCAAAATGACGACCAAGAGTTTTAGTATGTTTGTCTTTTCCCGTAGTACCTAAAAGTGTCAGTACGGTTAAACAATGGTAACATTGTAATAACTTCTAAAGATTTCGACAATCACATCTTTTTAATTTCAGGTACGAGCTGCAAAAGCCGCCCACTTCGCCGCCTACGCAGCTGTCAGTCAAGGAAACTACGGCCACTTTGGTTGAGGACGTCAAGATGCAGTGATTCACTAGGAATTTGTGAATATTAATACAAAAAGGCTGACGCACGGTATCTTCGATTACAATTTTTCAATCTAGACTAGTCAATGCTACAGTAGTTGACGATATGCTAGGCCAGTGCATTAATTTTGAGTAGGATCTTTCTATTTTTTTATACTTCAGTTACCTGGTAGAAACTATTTCAGAACGTTAGTGCACTGACCCTTGACGTAATAATTGCATTATTTGATACACGTTATCTTTGAATAAGAAGAATACATTCTCACACTTAAGTCACTCAAAATGTATTCCAAGAAAAGATACGGCTACCAATTTTGCTAAGGTGGAGCTTCTTGTCGTACAAGAAGGGAATCTGTTTTGAAGCTGGAGCAACAGCTATCGTAACCAGCAAATACGTGCATTTACTTAACAATTGTAGCATAGCCTAGTGACATCACTGTTGTGATAGCTCTTAGTGTAAATATGCGTTTGTAAAAAATATAATACAGAAAATGTAAAACATTTTATAAATATAAATTTTGTATGACCAAGAAGCTTTTCACTATAAAGCCTAATGAACAAGACAAACCTGGTACTCGGGGGAGAGACCTTCGTTCTTGATTTTTTTTTCGGAATCATGTTTGGTGGATGCTAGCTAACATAAGATAAGAGGTTGCCGGGTAGAAGCTCACTACAAATTTGCTTAAGCAATTTTTTATACAGTATTGACTGAACGATGTAGTTCCCTACACCACGATTCCCCAGCGCGCAAGAGAGCCAGCATTGCCACAGCTACTGACTTCACACATTTTTGAGACTCCACCGAAAGGGTGAAAAAACGTAGGTGGGATCTTCCAGGAGTTCAAAGAAATAATGTTATTCGATCTTGAACTTTATGGCCAGCACCTTCTGACCTTTACGGTCAATTTTATAATACGTAGTCCTGTAATTGGATTATTGACGTATACTTTACTAAATTAAGACAAGTTACCGGGCTGAAAATAATCTATATCATTCACAATAACATTACATGAGTAACTCATTTCTGACATGCCGGATAGGTATGGGTTTTCATTGTTGGACAGACAGCTATTAGAAAATACATGTATATCACAATCAGTATGTCAAATGTATAATGAGAATAGCAAATGCCATGTTTCGAAGTATATTTTTATGATTGTCTCTTATCTTCACATCAGTGATAAATTACGTTAAGCATTTGACCACATACTTTCCGTGCATCCATCCAGCTACTTCGTCGTAATGTACTTGAGTCTATCAACAATGTAAATTGAAATATAACATTATGTAATACGGAATGGATACATATTTTTTACAGTTCCATTAAATAAAGTATATTCAATACCGTTCAGTCTACTGCCTATTTTTTCAAAAATTTTGGAAGGCGTTGTTTACGAGCAGCTCTGTGCCTACTTATATTCTAACAAAATTATTCCATCTAAACAATCTGGATTTGGACAAGGTCATAATACAGCTTCGGCACTCTGTGATTTAACAGACAATATAATAATCGCCCTTGATAACCATAAAGTAGTAGCTCTCATACTTTTTGAGTTTACTAAAGCATGTGACACCATTAATCACTCACTTCTTGTGTCTAAATGCAGTGATTTTGAATATTCTGAAAAACCTCTTTCATTTATTCAAATCTACCTTGAAAATGGGTACCTATCAAAAATTTCGTCTAAATCAACAGTACTCTACCGAACAAAAAATTTATTCTGAGGTACCACAGGGATCAGTCTTAGGACCCCTGTTATTTACATTATATATCTCAAATTTAGAAACAGCGGTAAAATCATGCAGCATATTTTTTTTGCGAACGATACTGAAATTTTCTATTCATTTAGGAGTAATGAATTGGAAACAGCAAATAATAAAATTAATCAAGATCTTGCCCAAATTGAAAAATTTAGTATTAGTCATAATCTTTGTTTGAACCCTTTAAAGACAAATATGTTGGTATACGCAAATAGAACAAGAATAAATGCTTTAAAAAAAGACATAGGACATACATTTAAAGGGTAATGAATTAGTTCCCGTGAATCATTCGAAGACCCTTGGTATTATAATGGATGATGACTTAAAATTTCTTGTACACGTAAACTATCTAATTTCTCAGTGCTACGCTATACCTATTTGCAAATAAGGCTACATTACATAAATCTGAGAGAAAGCAATTGTGTAAATCTTACTATCTAATTTCTCAGTGCTACGCTATACCTATTTGCAAATAAGACTATATTACATAGCATAGCCCTACTGAGCGAGGGCTGTGGCAAATGCTTGTTCCGGAAGTTGTTGTATCTAGTATAGAACTTCTTCCCGTCCAAGTGATTGTACACGCGTTAAGGAATACCTCAGTACCGATTGCCGGGTGGCGGTACAAGTCCGCCAACGGGCCACTTTAGGTCTATTTAACATCACAAACACGTAAAAAGAAGGTGGTAGACAAGGACCAGTCGACCGAGGCAGTACCACCCGCTAGCTTTTCCCAGGGTGTCTTATAAATGTCCGCATGTTTCCACACCTAAGCTATGCAGTCGGTTATCTACCAAAACAAAGAAATTAATGATGATGGATCGCTCGAGCACTAAGAACTCCGGACGTAAACTCACTCCACTCTCGGAATGTCCGGGTGGAGGGTGGGCTCGAGGGAACAACATCGAAGATAAAATTTGTTTTTCGAACATCTGCGGGATCAACAGGAACATTGATGCTGTTCATCACTACCTGCAATCCAATCGTCCCGCCGTGCTTTTCTTGGCGGAGACAAAAATCTCAGAGACTGCACCGATTAACCATCTCAACTTCCCAAACTACGAGGTGCACTCCAATCTGAGAAAGAACGGGGGAGTTGTGGCTTTTGTCCGCAGCAGTCTTTCCTGCTCCAGGGATCTTTCTTTGGAATCAGACCGGAAGGACATTCTGTGGCTTCGCCTCAACTCCAAAACATCACCCAAATTTATTTGCTGCCTTTATCGCTCTCCCTCGAACCATAACTGGGATGACCTACTCGAATACCTCGCCGTCCAGATCGACTTCCTGAACATCAATCACCCCGCTTCAGAGGTAGTTCTTCTCGGTGATTTCAATGCCCATAATGAGCTTTGGTTGGGCTCAAATAAGACCGATGCAGCAGGTCGTGCAGTCGAAGCGTTCGCTCTTACTCAAGGGCTGACCCAGTTGGTGACGAGCCCTACTTTTTTCCCCCGCGTCTCGTCACACGCCAGTAGCCTGCTGGATCTCTTTCTGACCACGCATCCTGCCCCTTACAGCACTGCTGTCCTGTCCCCCCTGGGTAACTCAGATCACGGTGTTGTGGAGGTTAGGTTTCGGTCAGAAGCCGCTGTGGCAGCAGAAACTCGCACAGGCCGCAAAACTTGGCATTACGGACATGCCGACTGGGAGGGGCTCAGAGACTTCTTCTCTAGCTTTCCTTGGAGAGATGTCTGTTTCACTGACGCGGATGCGTCGACTGTCTGTTCTTCAATAACCGAAATTATCCACGTCGGAATGGAGGAATACATCCCTCACACAGTGAAAGTTCCTAAACCAGGGTCCAACGGCTGGTTCAACAAATCGTGTGACACTGCTCGCCAGCAGAAGATCAAGGCCCACAGAATCTACTTACAAAATCCCACTGTAGAGAACAGACAAGCCGACGTCGAGTCCAGAAACAAATATAACGAAGCGGTTCGCAATGCCAAAAACCAGCATGATATAAAAGTTAGGCACAGGGTAATGTCGCAGCGCAATGGCAGTCGGTCTTTCTGGACGCTGGCCAAGCAGATTGAAAAGAACTTCTCACACAGTAGCCTTCCACCACTTACGTGTCAGGATGGAACTATTGTATTCGACTCAAAGGCCAAGGCGGAAGTACTAGCCAAGATCTTTGCTGCCAACTCCACCATGGACGTCCCCACCAACGCCCAAGTACCGTCAATTCAAAGGGTTCCCCACACTATGCGGGAGGTAACATTCAGGCATAAGACCGTAAGACGAGTGCTCTTGTCGCTCGACATCAACAAAGCTTCTGGTCCGGACTTGATTCCTGCCATTGTACTGAAGAGATGTGCAGCGGAGCCTTGCTCCAGTTCTTTCGCGTCTCTTCCAGATATCTTATGAATCCGGCACTTTCCCAGAAAACTGGAAATTTGCTCATGTACAGCCCATCCCAAAAAAAGGATCTAAGACCGACCCTTACAACTACAGGCCTATAACTCTGCTTTCTGTTATAAGTAAAGTGATGGAGAGGTGCATAAATCGCGAGCTTCTGGACTACCTCAAACGTCACAGCTTGATTAGCGACAGGCAGTACGGTTTCCGGCACCAACGATCCACAGGGGACCTCCTAGCTTACGTCACGCAACTGTGGAGTAAACTCATCCAGTCTCATGGTGAGGCTCATGTCGTTGCTCTTGACATCACGAAAGCGTTCGATCAGCTGTGGCACGCTGCCCTCTTAAGCAAACTTCCATCCTACGGCCTCCCAGAAAAGCTTTGCAGATGGGTGGCTGACTTTATCTCCGGCCGCAAGATATCCGTCGTAATTGACGGATTCTCCTCTTCATCCCACAACGTCAACGCGGGTGTTCCCCAGGGATCGGTCTTGGCTCCAACACTGTTTCTCTTACATATCAACGACCTCCTTTCCTGCACGATCAACCCAATCCACAGCTTCGCTGATGACAGCACTCTACATGCAGGAATTCAGAGTGACAAGCCGATCTCTGCCGCTGAGCTGGAAAAAAGAAGACTAGCGACGACTTCTTCTCTGACAAGAGACCTGGAGGCTATCACTGCTTGGGGACGCAACAATCTTGTACAGTTCAATGCTTCCAAAACACAGTACTGTACTTTGACGAACAAAAAGCGTCCTAGCGCTCATACAGTTTCGATGGACGGTCGAGTTCTACCAAAGAGCCATTCATTTCGGCTGGTCGGAGTCCAGATCACCGAGGACCTGATCTGGCACGAACACATCTCTTCAATAGCTGCAGCTGCTGGGAAAAAGCTAGGCTATTTGTTTAGGGCTAAGAAGTACTTTTCTCCGCATGACCTTCTCACTCTACACAAGGCCCAGATAAGGCCTAGCCTTGAGTATTGCTCACACATTTGGGGTGCTGCCGCCCCGACTACATTGTCCATGCTCGATGCTGTCCAGAGGAGGGCGGTCCGACTGATCGATGACTCTTCTCTAACAGACAGTCTCGGAACTCTTTCGCACCGGCGGGCTGTCGGCGATCTGGCTCTTTTCTATCGCTACACCAACGGGCTTTGCTCCTCAGAGCTCTCTTCCATGATGCCGCCGCGCGATGTGCCTGTCAGACAGACCCGCCTGACTTCGGCGTCCCATCCTAACCGTGTCAAGCTTCGTACATCCAGAACTGGCCGATACGACCGCTCCTTTGTCCCGAGGGTGTCTAGATTGTGGAACAATCTAAGGGAGGAAGCTTTTCCCAGTTTTACTAACCTTAGGCAGTTCAAAAATCGTATTAACAAAATTTCTTTGGTATCATCATAGCAGCCGCGGTGTTCCGGCATTTAGGCTTCTGCCTGCGCGGCTGTTTCGATATAAAAAAAAAAAAAACATAAATCTGAGAGAAAGCAATTGTGTAAATCTTTCTTGTTTTCAAAGATATCGTAGGTATTGCTTAGTGGTTTGCTATCCGTATTTAGATATTATAACAAGAAATCGTATTCAAAGTATTATGAATACATGTTACAGACTTGTAAATGGTCTCAGAAAGTATGATCATATATCTAATGCCATTAGTGAACTCAAATGCATGAAAATTGATAATATATATACGTACCAGCTCCTAAGTCTGACTCATATGGTTCTTTATTCAAAAACACGGTCATATTTAGTAAACAAATTTGTAGAGGGAATATGCATGGCATTAATATTAGATATTGAGAGACTGTTTCAATTCCACGCTACAGCACATCTCTATTTCAGAATACATATATTTACAATGCGATCAAATCACATAATTCTTTAGACCATTGTTTAAAAGAAACTAATTCATTACCCTAATTCAAGAAAAAGTGGAAGAAGTTCTACTTGATCAGCAGCGAAATATGTTGTAACTCATAAGTGGCCTCATGTTTTCCTTATGGCTTCACTCAGATTATACTTTATTCTGTCGTTATTGTATACAGGTATTAGTTTTCAACATTTTTTTATACATCTTGTATTGTTAAGGGGGTTAGATGGTAGAATAGATATATTATCTAAATCTCGCCTCCTGTAATAATATTACAAATAAAAAAGACGATCTGTGAGAAATGGAGAGTTACTATGGGTCACCAATTTTTTGAAAATTTAAGCTGTGTAAAACTATATCATCATAGAAGGCATTATCATATGGTAGGAAGAATGACTAGGTTCTTGAGCTAGGCGGCATTTATGGAATGCTATAACAATAAGCGACTGAGGTGTCCTGATACTATTGTAGGAAGATGACATCTTTATAGCACTACAACAGAAAATAGTAGACAGTCACGACCAATTTATAGAACCATTAAACAATTAAAATATATTCCACTATCCGACCATTACAAGAGCGTTTGTGAAGCGTGAAAAGCAACACACATTGTGCGGTTGCCGTCAAAAAGAAACGATTGCCGGATTTCTTCACGCATGGTTTACCGCGGATACAGTTTTTTGCTGCCAGAGTCTGTTAGTGACATAAGAAACATTCAAGGACTTAGAAACATACTGAATTGTACGTATGCACATATTTGGCTCTAACTATGGTACCCACATAAGTGTTAGCTATGTTATGTAGATTGACATTAATTTGAGAGCATTCGCATATTTGTTAATCAGATCTATGCTTGTTCTAGGAAAATTGTGTCCGATCCACCTGGTAACGCTGTGCTTTGACAGATCTGCCATAACACTTTCCTAATAGTCTAAGATCCGGCTGCTTGAATCTGCAGGTATCTGCAGCAGGTCGTCTGGCAATGGAACCCTGCAGACATCAATTCTACTATTATTTATCAAGCGTAAAAATGGAGTTCTGTCAAAAAAAAATTTAACAGATCCCTGCAGATTAAAGCGGCTGGGCCTTGTACTATGACCGCGCATGTGCAGTAGCTAGTACTCGTTTCGATCACTGCGCCCTCAACCAGGCGCTGCGATTTGGGGTCATTTTTACTGATTCTGCCCATTCTCCTCGTATATAGGGCTCCATAGTTTGTTGATTAAATGTTGCAAACTTCCAAAGATATTGAAGCGCTACTGCTATTCAGCATGACAGTGCTGCAACGCTCGAACGGAGGTTGAACGCTCCAATTTTTTTATAGTGACTTTTCTTAAAGAAATTTATCCCCTTTTCAATAAGGTTTTCTCAGTTTCTATGACTTTTACAGTAAAACAGGAACACCATTTAACGGGCAATTTACAAGGTTCCGCAAATAAAATAATCATACCGCTCAACTCTAGAAATGTCTCGGGTTCAAACATGGCTATTTCCAAAGCGACGAAAATCGCCACAAAAAGGTCAGTTCAGCTCCTCTTTCAAGATATAGTACCGATTTGGGTAATAAAGTCTCACTACGCACTGTGTTCCCAAAAATCGTATTCACCGCGGCAAGTTGTATAACATAATAAAAGGATGATAAGCAGGTAGTCGCACCAAATACGACCATCAGTCAAGCTTAGTTTTGTGACTGTTGTGGATGAATGGCTTTTGGTGTAAACGTGTTAAGTAAAAAGAGATTTCCCATTGTTCATGTTCATGAAACATAAGAAACGGATGCATGATCTTGTTTAATCTTCTTGGATTTTTCAATCAAGTTTCAAATGTTTAATCACCCAAACATATCATGAATGTTCCCAATTTTCTGTTCTAGATCAGAACGCCGCAGAAGTGTGTTAATGCTGTGGCCGTCGATAACTTTTGCTGCGGCTGATGTGAAATGACCTTTGTAGCCCAGAAGCGAACCATCAGCCTAGTTGTGAAGACAGCTTACTTAACATACATAACTTGGTTGTGAAGATAAGTATCTGTTGTAGCTCTTGCTAAGTTAGACTGCGAGGGTAGTTGAGAGGCAAGAAACGTGCAATGAAGTTTGTTGATCTAGCGTGAGCCAACAAACTATGTGGACGATTCTTATTTCTGCTTAACGCCCTACTTGAAGCAAGATTGGTCAACAAAAAAGAAGGCACAGTTGGAATATTTCTGCGTTCGATAAGCCATTCTGCCCATTACTGAAAATTACATGGGATCATAGTTTATCTTCAAATACATCCAACTATACAGTGTATCTTAAAAACAAGAACTAATAAAATAATTTCATGACCATATTGGTTCCTTTCGATGCAAAATTAATGAGATTTGACTACTGAGAACCAGGAAGCAGATAGACTTTTCTTGTTGTCCACTGTTAATGCCGAAGAACAAAATCCTGGTTGTATGTGGGTTCACCATGTATAGATGCAAATTGGTAATTTCCATTTTTTTTATTTATAAATCCAGGCATTCTGTCTACGCTCTCTTATCATGAAAATTATTGCATGAAACCATAAAGAAGTACCACCAGTAGACCTTTAGCTTTAGCTTCTGTTCGAATGTTCAGGGCTGCCTACCGAATTTTCGTCCGTTAACATATGACGGACTAATAATAGATGGCCCTTATGCTGATGTATTTTGATAGACCTTTTGCCGCTGACCGAAGATTATTCCGCTTTGCTTTCGTTCACAGTTCTACCTAGACACCTAGACCGTGGTTATGGTCTCCAATAAGCATGAAACAGCGCTGTACACAGTACACAATTTTGGCTGCGTGTTAGCCATACAGACTTTAATGGCAAGTAGACCATATCTACTATATCGCCAGAACCGACAAACTTAGTAAAATTTACGTTCCAACAGACAGCTGCGTTCACTTTCGCATAATTTGGTTCTGGAAATAGATGGGGACATTTAAAGACATAAGGGGATCCCATATTATAAATGTATTGCATCACAGTGGATTTATATTTCCAGATAAATAATGTTTTTGATGTATCTTCATTGATTTAAGCAATATAAATTGAGCGACAGATGTATCATTGACATTTCGGCTGACCTTCAAGAAAACCACTTTAGCAGCCGAAATCTGAATTCATTAACTATTTCTGTTTCACCAGTTGGTCAGATTAAGCAGATGGGTATGAGTTAAAGAAACTGTCAGAAAATTTTGGAAGTTGAATTAATTTCTTCCTGAATATACCAACAAATTCCGACTAAGTAAAAGGAGCAGACATACGACTTGTTTCAATCCACGGAATCATAGTCAGCAGTCAGGATGCAAGATTCCACTTCAAGTCGATCAGACCTAAAGATTCCAGCTTGACGGTTAATGTAACATCTGAAACCTATCCTGTGGTTTTCATGCTGAAAGCCAAATGAAACCACACATTTTGCAATTACTCCTTACTAACGGTTCGGCCACCACTATAGGTAATTTCAACATAGGTAGTTTCATTTGGCATTTGGCGAGAGAAACAGAGTTCTAGTTAAGCAGTTGTTGAATCTCAGTCTAAGTTTGCTAACAAAGATTGATATCTAGCGCAATATTCATGAATGCGAAACATTGCAAACAAACGAAAATTGATTAATCAAATCACTTCTAAGTCTGTTTGGATCTCACGCATAGGTAGCTAAATGTTTGCTTTCGTTTCCTAGCTTTATTTAACTCAGCCCTGCTTTACCAATATCTAGATGGTTCACACTGCTAAATACGAGTAGATGGTACTTCTGAAAGAGGGTACACCATGTACAATTGGCTGCTGGAATATTTTCTTGGAATTGGAATTCACAAATAACATAAATTATGATACAATGCATTACACTGTATACGAGCATGGTTATATGATGTGTAATTGAGTTTACCCAAACTATCTTGGAGGAGGATATGCGCAGAAAGCTTTCAATCTACTTGATGACCGATCATATAACGAAACGTTTTTGCCTTATATCATTCTTGTTGTGCAGTAAATTCTTTTAACGTTAGAAGCAATGAAATATTTGTACGGTTGATGTTTAATAAATATTCAGTTATACGAATAAGCAAAGGTGTCACCTTTTATACTTGACATTCCAGAAGTTTGCAAATAATAGTCATTGCAGAAAACCAATCAGGAGCAATATTTCTGTTCCTGTAAGTATACTTCGGGAGTATAAATCAAACCTAAGAGCTTCTATGGCTGATGAACATTTTTGTCAGGTTCAGCATGCTCTGTGGGAGTCTACAGGCATAGAACTTTAACAAGGGTGAATTATACATATTAAGTTTAACTTCTATGCTTGCGACAGCGTTCGCAAAATATTGTGTGCGTAGTGGTGGACAGTATGAGTCTACGACTCAGTCGGCGTGCGCTGAGTGGGTTCTAATTACTACACGGTTTTTGACTATTGAACGTGGAGGTACCACCCGACGACTCCCTAAGGCGGGACCATAATGTGAGTATGTTGCAAGCACTCGTCCTCCTTGGCATTCTTGATGGTTCTAGTGTCAAAAAGAGGCGTAATGAAAACATTATTTTGGTAATTGAGGCGAAACTGAGCTGTTCGCTGAATGTCTAAGGTTGCTTTAATTTTCGGATATGTTCCCACTGGCGAAATGGATTTTTTATGAACTAATAATAAAGCTTCTACTTGTGATGCAATGTAAGTGGACCATAGAAGGCCATTATAACAAATAAACGGTTATTATTTTATTATTTGCAAGATAAGTGAAACACAAATTATTAAGTAACACTTTGTTTTGTTACGTAAATTATAAACCATCTTATGATTCTTGAATCCATCATTATTTAGTGAATCTGGGTTTTATTAAACTCTTCGGAACGGCCTTGCCAGGAGCAAAGCTCCATCCAAGGATATGATGAATCAGTCGTTTAACTTACGTTCTAAACAAAATATCTGCTTATATTACTTATACTACATTAATCGCTCTTTGACTAAAATGAAACATCAAGTACAACCATATATTCTCATAAAAATACTCATACTCATACTTGAGCACTATCGTAAAACTAGAATGTATTCCTGAATACGTTATGAAAATAAATTTGAGTATTATATCGATATATAAGTTATCAATAAGCCTTTAATCAAATAAAAACAACCTACAACTAAAACCAAACTTATTATTTTTTAGATTCCCATGGTTTGTGCCAACAAGCAGTGCCCAACTAGTTTAGAACTAATTCCGAATTACGTTTCTGCGCATGCCCGAAGTAAGTGCAGTTCAGAATAGAGAATTACTTAGCTGGTTGTCATAAACATAACCTTAACTGAAGTAGTATTTCAAATGATCTAGTTTTCGTATGCTAGACCTAGAATTTAAGATAATTCATTGTTTTTTTGGCTAATTGTAAACATTTTTAAAACAATGGGAAAACGAAATAGCAGATTTAACAAGAGGTGGGTAGCTTGGTGAAATATTATACTTTTATTATTATTAAATAGACGGTATCTCGCAAAGGCAGCTTCCGTTAATTGCGGTGAGCGATATTTTCGAGAGCGATCTCTATTACTTTTAACGTAATAAATACGCAAGGCGCGGCGACAGTGCGCTCAGTTTAAAACCGAACGGCATAAAGTCCAGGGTTGGGTCAGAGTTGGCCTGCAGTTAAAAACATTATGAGCAGTAGTAAGAAGATGAAGACATACCGTTTCCATTCGGAATGGGAAGAACCATATTTCTTTACAGAAGTTAAAGGGAAAAATGTCTGTTTGTTATGTAATAGATCTGTTTCCGTTGCTAAAAAAGGGAATACCGAGAGGCACTATAAAACTGTACATTCGAATTTTGAAAAATCATTCCAATTACGTTCTGCAACCAGAACGGAAAAAACTGAAACAATAAAAAAATCAGTTAATTGGACAACAGACAATGTTTTTAAAAAAGATCAACAAAAGTGAGGCTGCCAACTGAAACATCATACCGGATGTCCCAGATAATTACACAAAAGAAAAAACCTTATGAAGACGGGGAAATGATAAATCAGGCGTTCTTAGAAGTTGCAGATTCATTATTTGCCGACTTTAGAAATAAAGACGAGATAGTGTCTGCTATAAAATCTATTCAACTTTCTGCTAATACAGTGTTGAGATGAGTAGAAGTAATGAGCAATGATATAGTTTTACAGTAAAGAAATGACTTCGATAGCTGTGCTTATTTTTCACTGCATCTGGATGAATGAATGTTCGTCAGGATGATTTTTAGTCAGTTTACGATTAAAGTGGATCTTTTGAAGTTTATTCCACTAAAATGACAGACTATTGGGCAGGACTTTTCTTCTTTTAAAAATATTATTTCTTCTGAGAAAATTCGAATATCGAAAATTATTGGCTTGACAACCGATGGCGCTCCGGCTATGATGGGTCGTGATAAGCGTCTCGTGGGGCTAAAGATGAAAGTTTTCCCAGTTTCTCTGTTACCACTGTATTATCTATCAGCAAGCATTATGTGGACTTTTTCTAAAACTAAACAACGTTTTGAAATTGGTAGAAAAAATTGTGAACAAGATTAGAGCTCAAGCGTTATAAAGAAGATTATTCAAAACCTTGACCGAAAAAATTGACTGTCAATACGGGGAACTACTTCTTCACTCTGAAGTCCGATGGTTAAGTAGGGGACGAGTGCTGAAACGTTTCAATGATATCATATCTGCCATAGTTCAAACAACGTGATGAACCGATTCCGGAACTGGAAAATTCAATCTGGCTTAGCGATTTTGGTTTTCTTGTGGATATTACAGTAAAATTAAATGAATTTAATTTGCAGCTCCACGGGAGAGAGACAAAGAATTAGCAGGAATGACTTCTTATATAGAAGCGTTTATCAAAAAGCTTGAGTTTTGGGAATTAAACTTAACCGATGGTGATACCAGGTATTTTCCTGTTCATTCAGAAAAGATATCTCAAAGTCCATTAGAACCATATGACAGTAAATACCATGTAGAAATAGTCTCTTGAAGGATAAAAATCGTTTCAAGGATTTCAACGAAGTTGCCATACTGGCGCAGTTTGTTGTTTCACCCCCCATGGAAATTGATGTCCAACAGTTTGCAACTTCTGTTACGCAGAATTTTAGCGAAGACACAGAAATGGAAGTAATTGCGTTTCAAAATGATTGAGCTTCAAAATCATTAGTCCGAAATATCTAGCCTTAAGTAAGTAAAGATAAATATACAGTTTTATGTCGTTTTGCCTTCAAAGTGAAAGCGTTATTCAGTTCAACCTATTTGTGTGAATCTTCTTTTTCAAATATGAAGTTTATTAAAAACAAATTCTGTAATCGGCTTACAGATTAACATATGGTTAATTGTATTTGAATGGCGGTAACCAATTATACTCCAAAGATTGAAAAAATTGTCAGGGACTCTGGGTGTCAGGCTTCTCATTGAACACGCATTTTTTATCAGGACATGATTTTTTTTTACATATTGCGTTGCTTTATTTTCAATTACCTTTATTAAATCGTATGTGACATGCCATTGTAGCTGACGAAAAATTTTGTTTATTTTTCAAACACCTACGATTGGTAGGAATGGATGTAGTTATGTTGAATGTATTAGTTATTAGTTTATTTAAGTTTATTAGTATGTATTAGTATTAGTAAAATAAACACATGTATGTCGCATACAACTGTGTATAATTTCATTTAAGTTGACTTACATTGCTTACGACTAGGTAGCTCTCTGTTTATTCCAAAATTGCCGAAGTAGCTCAATACACTGAAAAGATTGGCGACCAGTGCTTTAGAGCAAGAATTGTGCTGAAAGAAATGCTAAGGCTTTTATTACTAATAGCTTTATTGACACAAATGTTTTAAAGCTATTAACACTCTCCTTTTTAATTTTCATTTGTAGTTGTTGGAGCTCCTACAATCATCTTCATATTCACTTGGATCTGTTCCAAATCATCATCAATTTTTGAATGTTAATGTGAATGTGTAATGAACGGTTATGATTTAGGTTTGATATATAATTAGTTCTCTCGCAGAACCAGAACTGTTAGAACCATTTCTGACCCGCTTCGTAATTAGCTCAGAATTTTCTGGGACAGAGATGCCGTTTTCTGTTGGATCCGCAGTTTTAACCAGCGCATGCTCTGTTCAGTTCATTACTAGTTCGAAGGTTTGTTGAAAAAAGCTCTAGATGCTGCTAATAAGGCCATTGCATCCTAGCAACTGTCAACTCTTTGATCGGTCTTGCAAGGAACCTGGCTTTCCTAGGGAAGCGTTCGATATTTTAACTAAAATGACAAATATTGATGTAGAATCTCGGAGAAAAAGATTTTAACAACCGAAACCAATAAGACCAGAGGCCGCATTAACAAAATAACGACGCAAGGAACTCACTACCGCGTTTGTGTTTCTGAGTTTGATGGGTATTAGTGTGAATAGAAGAAATCTATCGTTTTGATAATCAGCCGTACAAGAAGCATGGCCTTCCATGGTCAAACCACCTTAATACTTACAAAATATGGACGCGTTCATTCGTAAACAAGATTCTTCGAACAGCCATGGACCATGTTCGAACACATCAATTAAGCTTGATTGACATGCAACTACTAACTTGCATCATAATTAACCAAAACATGTTCAGCGTGACATATAGGAAACCTTGCAGATAGCAAAAAAATAACGCATGGCAGACGCACCGTCTGAAAACGGAAACTTGAAAGAGCAACCTTGGCGTAAGCCATCTCAATAGTAGAAACCGAGATATACCCAGATATGTGCAAATTAGCGTCTCGCAGGTGGTGCAGGATATATCAAATTCCCAAGAATCAATTTAGTGCTTAGGAAATGAGAGAGTAGTTGCCATTCCAAATTACGCGTTTCTTAGTCTTAGTGAGTCGATCTTTACCTGTAAGAATGACCGCCGATTCCCGATATAAAGAGTGACATCAAGGAGGTTGAATCTACACCTCTAACGTCTTCATAAAGGGTGAAGTTCAGCACAAGTTCAATCCATAAACCTTCTTTCCCTGCCCTACCGTCCATCTGGCAACGTTGCGCCTTCACGTATCCTCAGAAGCGACAGCGCCTATTAAAGCACCAACGCAGCAGGAGCAGAACACTCAAGCATACCGGTACGCCAGCGATGAGCCCAGATAGCAGAAGGAGACGGGTTCGAAAACATTTCTCTATCATTCTAAGTTTTAAAGACAAATGTAGGCTGGAGGAGGACTGGCTTCGATATTGGCAAGCCTGACTTCTGCTTCCGAATGCGGCACGCTTTCTGCCAACTCTTTGTTGTACTCGATAGGATGGGCTTTCCTAGGCCCGTATCGTCAGTCGTCCCTACAATTGCAGGGCGCCTTTATGGCCTCCTTGATTGTCATAGTTTTCTACTTCTCCGTGTCAGCGCTCTATTTTGAGGTTATGTCACAAACATCTATTTGCATCAAATTGTGCTTGCTTTTGAGCTATATCATATTTATCAGCCTGAAATTTCCTACAATTTAAAAAGAAAATATATCTTCACAATAGGAGAGCGCTGACGCTGACACGGGACAAGTGTAATCTAGAAATTTTTGAAGGAGAGAAAGGAGTATGACAATCAAGGAGGCCATAAACGCGCCCTACAATTGTAGGGACGACTGACGATACGGGCACAAGTGTGCAGCTTGGTGCCAGGATATGGTTGTCACAAAAGCCGTACCTATACCAATCCCATCCAGTCATGCCTGGGACTTCTGTGGATGATTGGTGGGGGTGAGGCATCTTCTGTGACCATTTTGTAAGCCTCTGATGGTAGTGAACTGGCGATCTCAATGACAATAATTGTTGGTCGGCCGGCCTGGTCTATGCCGTGGTCGTGAGGTTGGTGATGACTAACCGCCAGAATGAGCATTTGGAGTCACAGAGGAGGAATTTACGTCATCTCTATTTGCAGAAGCTGAGAATTGCACTCAGTGGTTGACCTTCTTATAGCATCTAGTATAGTGAAATGCGATGGACGATCCGCTGGGTTGATGGAGTTGGCGGATTGGCTATCCATGCCTGCAAATGGCATTGTAGCCCTGATGAAAAGATGTACATTATACAACCTGAAGGCTAATGACATTGAGGATAGAGGGGGGCAAGCCAAAGAGGGATGAACTCCCCAGCCGCGGGAGTTGAGGAAGAGAGTTGTACCTCATTCATCATAGGTAGAAGAACTCAAAGATCATCACCTATTACGGAGATGCGGGGTCACCTCGAGCAAAAGGTGAAAGTTGCTCCTCAGGAAGCAAGCCGTTTAAGATCCAACTGATCTGCTACGGTCGACGCTGTAAGTTCTCTGATCGGGTATGTGAACACTGGAAGCTGAACGGTGGAAAAAAAGGACGGAAAAACTGCAGGATGGAGTTCGAGGCGCCCTAATAAACTACATTTGACACAAAATTAATGAATAGAAGAACAAAATCCGCGAAAGTTGGGCTATGGAATACTGAATTTAATTTTTAAGTTCTATGAGGAATGCGGAAGTTTCGGGATTTGATTTACCAAACTGCGTGACTTGGGGGAGAAGTTTGGAAGTTTGAAGTATACCTCTAACAAAGCATCAATACTCATCCAGTAGTACGAAAGAACTATACCCCTCGTATATTGGATAGTCGCGTGGTAGCAATGTGTCGGGAACAATCTCCGTAAAGAACAACCCAGAAATAAACTTGGTCAGAATGTTCACTTTGTTCCGTCTGAAAAGGAGAAGAGGAAACATCTTTCTCAGTTTTAAAGGCAATCTATGATCTGTGAAATATGTATAATAGGTGCGTAGAATTACCGGGGTTGGGAGTGTTGTATTATACTAACATGAACAAAAAATATGATACACCTTCCCACACCCCACAACCCCCGATCTACGAATTCTTTATCCCTAAACTTTTTTTCAAAAGTCATCAGGACCCTGTAAAGTGTCAAAAAGAATTGGGCGATTTTGATTTCTTTTTTTTTTCATTCATAAAGCTATAAAATATAAAGTTTATTTCGTATAAAGCTGTTTCGTCCTTGGCATACGAGTAACCCTGTATGAACATTTCAAGGATTAGTGTAAAGACAGACAGATAGGCAGACGGAAATGAGTGACATCGTGTGTACATGTTATATAACGTCCAAAAAGCATAACATCTTATTTTTTTAAATTTATCACGAGTACAATACTCCCAGGTCCAGTGGCGTAGGAAGTAAAAAGTGCTACAAGGAATTACGAATCAGTCAGCGATATGCAGTGTTGTTTCAATTGTAGAGATTAGAGATTAGAGATATGTAGTCATGTAGACAGCTGTATGTTGCTGGCTACTATATTGCAGCTAGACGATGCAGTACAGCGACTGTCGTATGATATAAAATGGTGATGAACTATGGAAACCGAATGCAATATCGAATGTTTATGCTGATAGATTCTCCAAATGCTAGCCCCTGTCAGCTACCGGAGAAACTAATTAGTTTTTTATGAATAATGAGCTGCTACTTAGCATTACTAGATTTGAAAAGGATGAAGTTATCTTAGCCTTGAATCAATCAAACCTAAGGTCACTACCGTAGCGGTTATTGTACCAGCCTTTATTTTACATGACTGTGCTTCCATGTTATACGCTTCCATTGACAATTTTCAATTTGTGACCTACCACTTATACAATTTCAGAGTTGTAGAAGTTGTCCAAAGTATGTCCAATACACAGAAGCGGTAGTAAAAATAATGCTTTAAATTGTAGACCTATAACATCATTGTGCAATTTTTGGTTCTGGATATATTAATATACAGGGTGTTCGAATAATGGACGGAGATATTTTAGAGGGTGATTCCTTGATCAAAAATATAAAAAAAAGTTCTTATAAACATTGGTCCGGAAATGCAGAGTTATCCAAACACATGGTGATAAATTTAAAAAAATATTTTATTATTATCTTCTGTTGAAATTTTGAAATATCGGTTGTATCAAAAGGCTAATTTAGCCCTAAATAGATTAAAATTATTAGGTCCAGTGGCGTCCAGGAGGCACGTTAGCGAATATTATTGGCACAAAATATGCGCCATTGCCGTTTTTGTAACTTTATTATTTTTTGCTTGATTAAGCATCTAAAAATACAATTTATTTGCCACTTGTATTTCTTTCGTATCTAACTTGTTTTCGAAAAAAAAATACAACCGCTTTATTGCATGTCAGTGGACAAAATTGGTGAATTGATTTTGGTAAAAAAATCAGAAGTGCAATGGAAAACAAAAAATAATTTCTGCAGGGCGCTGGTGCAACAAAAAAATTTTAACAGCTAAAACTGCATTTCTAGACCCATGCTTATAGAAACTTTTTTTCATATTTTTTGAAAAGGAATCACCCTCTGAAATATCTCCTTTTACACCCTGTATAACATTGGAGAAGGTTCAGCGTTATTTGATAGCACTTCTCTGGGATACCTGTATGCACACTGCCACGCCTTTTTATAAATAAGAGGAAATGGTGGTGTGATTCCTCTTTCCTTTAATTAGTTAATCAATTAATAAAACACTATACATGAAATCTAAGGACCAGTCAATGCAAAACAGCTGTCAAGTGGCGTGCAAATTTAGGCCCTAGCTCAATAAAGCGGAGAGTAGGGGGGGTAAAGAGAGCTAGTGACTCAAGACGGATTAAGCCACAAATTCCCGAGAAGTTAGTCGGAACTTGTTTTGCTTGACCACCACACAAAAAAGAGGATCTAATAGTCATGGTGAAACCTAATTGATTGTATAAAGAGGGCCAAATAAAACAAGATATTTAAAAAAATCACAATATATTGCCAAAACAAGCAGCACATATGCTCCAGCACTGGAGTGCAAGTTAAAAGAAAAGATATTATCCAAAACTACCTGATAATAAAATTATTAGACCATAATAACTAACCCTGCGAAACGTTTACCATGGTGCACGTACAAAGGCTTTACAAATAATTTAACGCCTAAACCTAAACTTATCAGGATCTGGAATGGTCTTCTTCCAGTTACACCTCTAGGCGCAGCTGAGATTTCCTCAGCTCACAAGTGCTCAAGTCATAAACCAGTGGCCAGTAGTGAGCAGTGACGTAGGGAACGTCACAAGGTAGGGGCTGCTTGCCTCTTTCTCAAAATTTACAGTATAAAAAAACCCTAGAGAGAGAAATACTGTTTAAAAATCTGAGGCAGAACTACACAGTTGAAAGACTCAAACTTGGAGAAAAATCCATGTACACCCTCTATTACTAGAAATTTACTTTTCTTTCTGCAAGGGCAAGAAAAGATAAAAATATACTAAAGTTATATATCCTCAGAAAGTTATTCCTTGCTCTAAAATAAATTATGGCACCTCAAAATTCAAAATCATGATCAATGTAATGTAATAAGCCCAGAAGACAGTGACATGTAAGCACTACCCTATATTTGAATTCGTAAAATGCCAAACAAAATCAAGAACACTCTAAGAATTTCAGTCAGCAACAATCAATATATTAATATCTATAAAATATCCAATTAGAATGATATGTTTTACTTGTTCACATCAGGGTTTTTAATCAAAGGGAAGGCATGGCTTCCAAAAAAATCGGCTGCGAAGCAGCTACAAGACAGCTATAAAACAAAGATGGAGGGAGTGTGAATGGTGGTTCTCCACAATGGCTTTCCACTAAAAGGAAGCAGATATTGAACAAACTTCTTCAGAACAAGCATTAATGGAGATAGTCCGATGGTATACAAAAGAGAACTTACCACTGGAGGTTAAAATCCCACTACAAAATGGACGGGTAGTACCCTAACCAACACAACTAAACGTAAGGTACAAAATAAAAGGGTACTACTCCATAAACTGTTGGGGCGTTAATATCCCAAAATCTGAACGTTAACAAAAAAAAAACGCCCACACACAACCAAAACTACAGCAGAAAGAAAATGGCACTGGACCATCTGCGCACGCAGCCCCCTAAAAAAAGGTTAAATAACTGGCCCTGAAGAAGGCACGTTCGACAGAACATCAAAAGGAATAATAAAAGCCGGTAAAGAAGGTATCTTGCTAGTAAATCAAATTTTAACAGCTAGTACATCTAGAAATCACAAGGTGGCACGCTGGTTGACAATGGGCAGACTGTAGGCAGAAACAAATCCGTCTACGAGGGACCAACAATATTTTATGAGGAAATTTCTAAGATAGTCGTTAATAATACTATAATATTAGTGTCCAAAAGATTTCAATACAATACTGAGTCGCTGAGAATGACATATATAACACGTATGAAATTATACAATCAATAAACTATGAAATTTGCCAAAAGAAAATCATTAAAAAGGGTTTGGCCTAGGAACGGGCAGTCTACTTTTGATAAAAAGAAATTCAAATGACTGATGAGTGATCAAAATAGTAAAAAAGAGGTTATGTAATTTTGACACGTCACAACATATAAAAATGACATTGCATAAAACTTAAGACTCCCTAGAACTTCTACTTGTATAAGAAACTTTTTGCTAAACGGTCAACAAAAATAATATAGTGCGACGCCCTGTACAATATACGAAAATATCCACTTAGCGTAACCATTATGCTATACTTCTGAATATTGATTTGATGTCGTATGCATGACAAGAGCGCAAGGATAGACAAAACGCAATTCACCTAGGAGAAAGGAAGTGGGAGTGTAAGCGATTTAGTTATAGCTTCTCATGCAATCATTCGTGGTAGCCTTCATATTTTGTACAGCTCGCCTATTTTTCTTCAGCAGCATCATTCATCCAAAAAGCAACCATCTTCGGAGCGCAATTCATATTAAAATTAGCTGCGAGTATCTGGCAAAAACCCAGGGCGGGGTGTCCATATAAAACCGCGGTAAAGGTCAAGTAATCCGCATGTGCAAGTGCGAGTTCCTTTGTGCAAAGGTAGAGTTAAGTGCCCGCCACAGCAAAATGCAGACATCGATGCAGCTGGTAAGTAGAACAAGCGCGGAATTAATGTGACCCTAGACGGTAAGAGCGGCCGCCGGCGGTGCAATGGTGGCGAAATCAAAATTCCGGATGGTTTTTTTCGTTTGTTGCGAATGCGCAGTCCGGAACGCTATGCAGCACGGCTGTTGGTATTACAATAATACATTTAAGTGTGTTGAATGGTTGCCCGGAATTTTAAGAAACGTAAGAGTCGTGGCGATCTTGCTCTGGTTCTCCTGCTTTTAAATAAGATTGCAGAACTGATTACCTATCTATTTATTTATTCGTATGGCTCGCATAATACAGCTGATATATGATATTTGCATATAAAAATTCACTATACAATATGTCTCCCTACGTTCATCAGAACAGGTGTATGCTGGATTTTAGAAAAGTTGAGCAAACACTGTCTTATTTTCATCAAGCACTATGAAGACGTGCTCTTGCTAGGCCCACCCTAGCAGTGAGCCGCAGTTCACACGCAAGGGTACATCTATTGTTTAACTGGGTTTTGTCCGCACAATTGACCATGACCGTTCCATATCCACCGACTTCATGCAAATAAAACAGATCACTGAATTACCGGAATAAAAAGTTAGGAAAAGACTGGGCACAGTTTTAATGGGAAATTTTCTTTAAGACGGAGAACAAGTTCCTTATGTATTTTTGTGGGAACATTGATCTAGTCACAAAATTAGAGACTTGACTCAAGCTCTTAAAAATTGATATGTTTTACAATCCAAGGTATCTCTTCTTGCAGTATGTAGCAACAGAGCATTCTATAAGGGCAATAGCATTAATCTGGGTACTGACATTAATAGCCAGACAATGATGAATGCTCAGTCAGGTTGCGCAATATTGAAAAAATATATAAACGAAATGCGCTCTATTAACACCATTGGAGGGGAAAATAATGTCCGTCAAGCAGCAGCCAATAATGGTAAAGTAGAATGCACATACAAACATGCCCACTCCACCTTGGACAGTAATGTCAGTGGCCGGGCAAAGACGTTAAATGAGAATATTACAAACAACACAACACAACCATAATTTTTTTTCGGCCCCAACAATAACTGAAATTATAAGTTAATTCCATTCATGTAATTTTTCGATTTATTTTAGTGCACAATTGTCTTTTAGAAGCTCAATGTTTCCGGTTTTGGCATTTTTGACTGATGTTTGGCCATTTCTTTTATATTCAGCTTTCTTTTTCATGTGGACGCCACAATTCCTAGTTCAACTCGATAGTAAGACCTAGGAATATATAAGAACTAGCCTGAACCATCTGCTCCGCTCAAGTAGTGTAAAGTATAGGTCTTGCATTAGTTTGAAGGAGATTAGAAACAAATGCAATATTCAAAGTGTTGCAATGCTTACTATGGTAATAGATATTTTTTATTTAACATTCCAACGCAACAATATATAATTGTGCATGTCTCTCTAGTCTGTCAGCATCACGTCGGAACCACAATACGGGGTGACGTAAAAATTGGTACACTTACTAATCTATTCTCGAGGTAAGTTATGTTCATGATTTTATCGGGGAACTTATCGTCACATTTGCCTATATTTAGTGGGTGTCTATGGAATACCCTATCACCTCGAACACAATTTTTAAAAAAGCTTCTGCGAAAGGTTTTAGGATAACAAAAGTAATTTGTCCATCTCAAAATGACCTCTAATAGAATTCACACTCAATCACTGAGATCAAAGTAGGAACAGTAAGTTACATAGTATTAAAGTGAGAAGAAACATGTTCATGGAGCTTGAGATACACATATTCCGGATACTTAAGCACAAAAATTTCGTAGATGCGATCCTAAGTTACTTCCAGTGCCTTTATGGACCTTGATCTTTTGCAAACCACCGTATGAATTTCAAGAATGAAGATCAAGGATGCACTTCTGGAATTCAAGTTTTTTCAGTCGAATATTATTTACAGCTGAAGCTTGTTTTTCTCGCGATTCAATTATTAACTTCCACAACAATCACATTTTGGCAAAAAACAATCCACACGCCTTAACAAAACCGAAGGAGGCCATTTCCAACACGTAATTTAGTGAAATGTGTTAGTCAAGATTTTAATGTTATTTAGTAATTGTTGCTGTTAGATAATTAGTAATAAAAAACTATAAAAAAATAATTTCCAAAATAAACTTCTTCCCATATTCCTTGTGTGATCCAGGGAAGTGGACATTTTTTGTTTCTAAATCTAAGCAATATATGGAAAAAATTCAAGAAGCAGAACAGTTGTATTCCTATTTGCTTAATCCAAAGATTGCACAAAAGTTAGTGGCGTTCATTTTTTTGTCACAAATATTGGTTCAGATCTTGCTCGAGACGCCACTGGACTTTGATAAATTTAATAAAGTTAGGGCTAAATTAGCTTCTCAATGTTATAAATACCACCGTCAAATAACAACAAAATTAGGTAAAGTATATTTAAGAAATTTTCGAAGATATTGTTTTTTTTTATTTTTAAATTTTTACTGTATTTTGAGAACCAAGAATTTGCGAACCTATATCTATATAACTTTTGGTCTTGAAATTACTGAAAGAATCATGTGATAAGTTTATGGTGCATACTCAAATAACACCCTGTACATGCGTATTTTGCAACTGTCATGAAAATAAAAAATCGGATAGGATTTCTTGCCGAGGTTAATTAAAGAATGTATTTTATATTGAAAATAATATGTAGTCCGTATTCTAGAAGAAACTGATGTATGGTCAACTATTTTCCTATTATATTAAGATTAACTATAGGCACGTATCTAAGTGTAAAATCTAAAGTAAAAAATTTTTATATTGAAAATTAGGTATATGCATGCAACAGCAATAATGTTCGTAACTGACGATCTATCACAGTACCGCTAGGATAAAAATGTCAATTGCTTGCGGAGATACTAAAAGTACGATATCATATCCTATGCTTTATCATTGTCTTATTCAGATATTTTATCACCACTCCATTTTCTTTGTTTCTCAATTTTCTCTAATATCCAATGAAGAAATTCATGCGGAACACCTTTATCTTTCTTAGGGATAACGATAGAACATATTCACTCCACGCCACATGATAAGTACCAATATACATATACTGTATTATTCAAAATGCACAGAGATATTTGGTCATGAAACGCTCAAAGTTTTGCGCAATACTGGTGAACAATGTGATGCGTTACTTGGATAGAACTAAGGAATATCCTCTCCCTGTACGGCTTCAGTGGCAAAATGCAACCAGTGAAAACCTAAATATTCTGTGAATTCATCGAATTTTTATCAAACATGGCTAGCTGTTATGTGAAAGTCAACATTCTTCATGGGGAGAGATATTCATTGAACGTATTTGGAAGGAGGGTAGGCTGATCACAGAAAGAAGTAAGTAAATTTTCACAGCGCCCCGAAAATTATCTGAAGCTTTGGATTCTATTCAACACAAATAGTCCGGAATGCTGTAACGAAATCGTATCTAAGAATAGTCATTATTATACAAAGTTATCTACATTCAAAATACCACAAAATGATAAAGAAACCAAGTCTTCGGTGGGTGATCTGGCTATTGTACTGATCTCCGAAGGGATAAAGTGTTAATACTTCAAAAACACTCATCCGGTTTCGATGGATGGCCGAATTCTGCCAAAGAGCCGTTCATTTCAGCTGATCGCAGCCCAAATCATCGAGAAATTGGTCTGGCATGAACACATCTCGTCAATAGCGGCAGCACTCTAGACAAGGCCCAGATATGACCTAGCCTCGAGTATTGCTCACATCTTTGGAGTGCTGACGCTCCGACTACATTACCCATGTTCGATGCTCTTCAAAGGATGGCTGTCCGACTGATGAGCCTTATCTAACAGACGGTCTCAGGACCCTTGCGCTCCGGCGGTACGTCGGCGATATAGCTCTCTTCTACCGCTACACCAATGGGCTTGGCTCCTCGGAGCTTCCCTTTTTTATCCGTAGGGTATCGAGATTGTGAAACAATCTACAAGAAGAGGCTTCTTCCAGTTCTACTAATCTTAGATAGTTAAAAAATCGGAATAACAAAGTTTCCTTGGGATCCTCATAGCAGTTGCGGTGCCCTGGCATTTAGGCTTCTACCTGCGCGGCTGCTCTGGTGTAAAAAAATGTGACATTACGTCTTTCCACTAAGAAGTGCATTCTTCAATTATAGCACTTTTGACCAAACAAAAATTCTATAGTGGATCTAAATTTAGATTCAGGTTATTCAGATATTGTTCCTTGGGATTGTTCGTACAGTGGTCGGTGACTTGTCGGTGACAGTGTCTGGGATTCGGCCTTGTAGACTCTGTCTATTTAGCGTAGCAGCATAAACGGAATTTGTGTAGCGGGATCTTGGACACGATCCCTGACAGGTTGGCGACAGCTGTACGAACGGGGCTGTCAGCCGAAAAGCTCGATCCTACCCTAGGCAGGAGCTGAAAATATTTTGGAAATCTTTATGTTTTTTGATATTTTTGTTATCCGATAAATACTATAAATAAAAAATAATTGTTTAGACAATTCCTGATCTCGATAACTGAGCTTCAGAAGTTGTCTTAATGATTTTTCATATCTGCGTTCGTTTACAAGGCTCTCTTAGAGCTTTCAGGGGCAGATGTTCGGATGCGGCATTTTTGAACCAACTGATAGCTTTCTGAGCCATTGACCAAGCTGAATGAATAATGAAAATTACAAACGATATTAAGAAAGAGCTGCATTTTAACGTGGATATATTAAAATTGCTTCAAAAGGTTCATCTGATAGACAAATATATTTCAAGTGAGCAGAAAATGTTGTTGAAGTTAGGTGCCATTTTGAGCCATAAATATTTAATCATAGCGATAAATAACCTGAAAAATATCCACCGGTTAAAAAAAATATAGGACAGCCGAGTTCGACTTTCCTTAGTCATTACTTTCAAGGAAGTTTTATTGACAATATTTAAACCTATCTTAAAGAGACGTTAATTCTAAGTCCTCAATAATGATGTCATGAGG